CTATATATATATGTATTGGAAGAAAAAAAAATAATTTATGTTTTTGTTAAGGTTACTATTAGTAAACGTACAGATGCGTGAATCATATTGTTGTTTTTTTTTTCTTCTATTCTCTGATATTGGTGTCATATAATATTTTCCTTTCAGATTTATTTATTTATTTATTTATTAATCAGACGATTTATTTGTTTGACAGAGATACACGCGACGCATTTGCTCACCTAAATATATATATATATATATATATATATATATCCATTGAGCCAGTCCCCGCTTTATTTATCTTTCGATAGAAGGTTATATGACGTCTTGCTAACATTTTTTCAAAGTCAGGTAAATTATTTCGTCATCTTTAATCATTTATATATAATAAAATTGAAATATTAGTGGCTTCATTATAAAAAGAAAAAAACGAACTTCCAAAGAAAGAAAGAAAAAATGTTTATCGTTTATTTTTAACTTTTAATATCAAATGGTGATTCTTGCTATTGTCAGAATGAATCACCTGACGAAAGCAAGTACAGTTATAACAAATTCAGATTCATCAACGACAAATGATGATCAAACACCATCAATAGTTAATAGTGAAAAAATGCTTCTTTTAAATGGAAATATATCACAAGAACCAACAACACCATGTGTATTAAATACACCAAATACTTGTACAAAAAATTCAACATTTTTTTATGAAATTCCATCTACTGTGCATACATCAACATCAACTGGTAAGATTTGTTTTTTTTCTCTCTCTATGCTAATTAGAAAAATTGAGTAAGAGGAAAAAGATTTTTAAATAGTTCTAATATTTACATATATAAACAGTTGTTTTTTCCTTGTTTCTCTTCAACATGTCATATCTTTTTATAAAAGAAAAAAAAACCGATTAACTATGTTTTCATGTAAACTATCTTCAATGATACAGTATTATAAACTATATATATATATAACTATCACAACGGTTTGACAATGATTGTCATAAGTAAATATCCAATGCCGATATGGTTAATTTATGTTATCTAACATTTCACTACAGAATCTAGTAGTCGCCAAGTGTATGTATATTCTACTCAAGGTTTTTCTACCTTGGTCTATTTATACATATTCTAATACGATTTCATCAAGTCTATTCATTTTTGTTTAGATAAATAGATGGCCTTTTTTTAGTAAGCAAAGAAAAGATTAGCATTCTAATCACGTAATTGTCACTCATCAGTTTTAGTAGAAAATAGAAATATTTTATGTCCTTGAATGTCTTTTTTTTGTTTGATATTATTTTGAATTTATGGATAATTGTATTAATAGAAACAAAAAAGAAAGGACAATAACAAAAAACATATCAGTTCAGAATAATAAATAGATACGAGAGAGACGATCTGTGTCTCATTAGGAACAATATCAAAGCATAAGTCATGTCTGTTATTTTGTGAGAATGCAAAAGAAAAAGAGAGAGAGAGAAAGAGACAACCTTGGTATAGATAATGATTAACAACATAAGCAAGTAGCGTTAGTGATGACAGGCAACGATGCTTACTCAGTCAGTTGTTATCTTCTGTGCTATTTGAAATGAATATTTATTTCCTACAGCAAATAGTTATAAGTAATATATTGTATTCGATATGTATTAGTATTAGTATTTGTTAATTTAATTTTTTTTTCGCTTTTTTTTTTTGTTACTCTATTGTGTCATCAACAGGTTAATATTTGTTAATGTGTCTATATTTGTAGATAAGATGATGATTATCTTTTGATTATCATATTGAGAATCTGTTCAAATTCAATTTTTCTTCTTCGGATTTATATCATCTATTTCGATCCGAATGAATAAGAAAAAAAAAGCAAAGAAAAGAAAAGAAAATCCTCGAACTTCTTTCGTATTCGTTGAACTCCTATTACTACCAAGTGTATAATCCACCTTTGCGATAGAGAAAGAATTGTAAAAGGGCGTGTTTGCGCTGAGCTTGCTGCTTTTGTTGACACGAGGTCTTAGCACAACGAGGACGATTTGCTCGTTTCTTCTGCTTTAATTGATGTTACTACAGCTCTTTTTTTTTGGGTCGATCGAAAAGAAAAGGTTTCATCATCAAGTAGAATAGCACCAGTCGAAAAGAGAAGAAAGGAGAACGAGAGAGAAAGAAAGAGAAAGAGAAAAGAAGGGACAAAAAAAAGCGTTTATCCGTCATTATCATTCAATTGTAATCGGTCGTTCATTTGGTGTTATTTCCGTTGACGAACTAGAAGCAGGTATGTCTGATGATTTTGATCCAATACTATTAAATACAGATGAAGAAAATATTGTCCATGATGCTTGTGTAAAATATGAAAATGGTTCACCAATAGATGGTTTTAATTCGTTTAAATTGAATTTATAAGTAAATGGATTGAAGAAGAATTTCGAATCGTTATTTAATGTTGATGATACAATTAATGATAATGGATTTGATGTGGGCATGTTTTCTTTTTTTTTTTTTTTTGTTTATGTTATTAAAAATATAATGGCGCGTCACCTTTTCTATTGAATCAATAACAAGTTTTTAAAACTATATTAAGTGAATAGAATTTTTTCTTATTCATTCTTATGATCAAATAAACGTGCTTAGAAGTTAAAATATTAGGCATTCTCATATATACATATGTCGGGTCATCTATTGATTTGACAGTGCATATCAAAAACGTCTAATCGATCTTATTCTATTCATTTATTCTTTTTCTTTTATTACTCTCACACCGAAATAACAATACGTAATGTTTTATATTTTTTAGACACCCAATCACCAACTGTCTCAGTACTTACTCAATCATTAGGACAACCACCACCTTCTTCATTATCAGATTCATCGTCTTCTATTGATATATTACCATCTCATCAAAATTCTTCAAATCAACTTTTAACATCTTCATCGTCAGTATCATCATCTATTCCATCAATAGTTGTTACTAGTAGTTCAACATTATCAAACGTTGTTGATGTATCGTCAACATCGTCATCATCATCGAATATCTATGACGATAGAAAAATGCAATTGCCACGTAGTTTAATTAATGAAAATAAACCGTTTCCATTAAATTTACAATTAAAAAAATCTATTCCACATATAACAACATCACCACCATCATCATCGTCAAAAACATTAATTGAAAATTCAAATTTAAGTGATACAAATAATAAAAATGATCATGATGTAGCAAGTGTTAATGATCAAATTCATACATTATTAACATCAAATCCAGTTGTTACAGATTATAGTATCAATCCATCGAACAGTACAACATCAGTATCAAATTCTCTAACAGTACCCTCATCAACATCAACAAATGAAACAACAATGAATTATGTTGATCAATCTCATTATGTTCCTTATGGAACACATCAAGCACCTCCGTCCTATCATGAAGCTGTAGTTAAGCCACCAACATCTATTAATAATTTTATGCCAACATTAAATTTAAATGGTACCGGTCTTTCATATGGTAAAACAACAGGAACAAATGATTGGACAACAACATCAACAACTACATTTAATATACAAACACCATTAATATCATCTTGTGTTAAAAATGAACCACAAGATTATCCAACAACAACTGCTAATGGTCAAGCAATGCAATTTGCTAAACCAAAAAATTATCCAAATAGACCATCAAAAACACCACTACATGAAAGACCATTTCCGTGTCCTATTGAACATTGTCCAAGAAGATTTTCACGATCAGACGAATTAACAAGGTGATATATTAGCAGAAAGAAAAACTTAATTTTAATTTATTAAATTTGATCTTTTTTTTTATTCTTTCTAGACATATTCGAATTCATACAGGAGATAAACCATTTCAATGTAAAATTTGTGCTCGAGCATTTTCAAGATCCGATCATTTAACAACACATATTCGAACACATACTGGAGGTAAGAAAAAAAAAGAGAAATCAAATTTTTAATATATTTTTTCTTTTTCTTTTTTTTAAAGAAAAACCATTTTCTTGTGATACATGTGGTCGTCGGTTTGCTCGATCTGATGAACGTAAACGTCATGGAAAAGTTCATCAAAAAACTCGTAATACAAATCTAATTCATCATCCATTAACAAAGTCACCACAACACTTTAATTCATTAACAATTTTATCTAATAGTTTAATTCCAAGTATGAATGAAGACGATCGAACACATGATGATATGCCTGATGATATTGATGATAGTTCATCACAACATAGTGCTAATGATTTATCTGAACAACAACAACATCAACAATTTTTATGTCAACCACATCCAATTCATCTCTCTGCTCATTGGGGATGATTATATGTATACATAGAAGCATTGTGTTTTTTTTTTATTTTGTTTTAAATAATTATTATATTAACACTCAGATAGGAAAAGAAAAAGAAATATTCTTTGAAAGAACAGTGACTTGTATTCTCTTTCTTTTTTTTTTTTGTGAGTGTAGAGACAGTGATATGATCAAATAATGTGTTCTTCATTTTTTTTTTCTTTCGTTTTTCTAATATCTTCTTTATTTCGTATGTACAGTACATCTCGCAGTGAGCCTATTCTATGTTTTGCTTCTTTTTCTTTTTTTTTCTGTGTTGATATTTTAGTTTTTGAACATCTTGTATTTTCACAAATGCTCTTGGTTTTTTTTCGGCTGTTTTCTATTTCATTATATACCGTTCTGTCACAGTCATCATCATTCTTTTTTTCGAATCTGTATACATATATATATATGTATGTATATATATATGTTTGTTGATTTACTTTTATCAACCATCATCTATATGTTTGGTTTTTGTTTTTTATTTCTAAATACGTTTCATGATGATGAAATGAATCCTTTTATCTCTATTTTTTTTGTGTTCGCGGAACTGATATAACAAAAAAAAAATGTGTGAAAAAAATTAGAAGAAGAAGAAGAAAACAAAAAAAAGAAAAATTTTAAATAGTCTTACATTTGTTTTCGTTTATTTGTTAAGAATATGAAGATTAAAAAAAGAAATATAAAGGTAAATATTATTCTATATTTGATGATGAATCAGTATGTGTTTGTGAATCAAAATGTGGTAATTGAGGAGTATCAGATGATGAATGATCAGATGCTATTGTATTTGATGAAATTTCTAATGAATTTATTGTTTTAATTGGTGGATATGAAACGATAGTATTACTGACAGGTATATCAGTTTGTTGCTGTTGTTGTCCAAATGTTCTAGAAAATAATTGTTGCATCCAATGATTATTAAATATTGAATTTGGTATTCGTTGAATCGATGAAATTAATGTTGTTCGACACATTGGACAATTGCCATGATGAAGAAGCCATTCTGTTAAACAATTTGTATGAAATACATGATGACATATTGGTAATTGTTTCACTTCAGACAATGAATCGAAATTTTCGAGACAAATAGCACATGATGGATTGACGGAAAGATTCGATGGAGTCACTAAAATTTTATTAGATTTTGAACATAAATGGTAGTTACTAATAAAAAGAATACAGTGATTTTGATGAGAGAAGTTTCTTTCCAAAACGAAAATATTTGAGAAAAACGAAATCCTCACAAAAGGTCTCAGTAAGACTAGAAAAAGCTTAAAGGAATTCGTGCTCATGAATCTCTGGAGTCGAGTTATGACCGTTTTACTGAATTTTCGACTCAGCTTTAGATTTTTACTGAAAAATCAAATAGAGAAATATGAATATGAAATTTTGTCAATAGGTAAATCTGATGACTCTGAGAATATCCTGAAAGAATATTCCTTATTGTTTTCAAGTCTTACCGAGATCTCCTCGTGACCTCAATATGAGCTCAAACAGCGGATATCAATTTGAGTGGTTTCTTCATCAGAACTCCAACAATTTATTTTGATTAGACAGCGTGATAGAGCAACTAATTCTCTAGAAGATGACATGTCTTCGAGCTTTCCATGAAATTCTTTGACTGAACTACATTAATTTTAAGTTTTGTGTGCGATTTTCTCGTCGGAAATAGTGAAAAAAAAACCACTTTTAGGCTTCTCTTAAAATTGATGTAATTCATTAACAAAAAATGTCATGGAGAGCTCGAAGACATCTCATTTTCTGCAGAATTAGCTGTTCTATCACTTTGTCTAATCAAAAGAAATTTTTATTTTGGAGTTCTCAGTGCTGAAAAATTACGTTTTGAATTTTAGGGATATTGAGAGGATTTCATTTTCTCTAAATCTTTTTTCTTTTTGGAAACAAATTCCTCTATCTGAAGCTACTGTAGGTAAACTTTATTATTATGATTTGAATCAATGTTAAAAATCAATAATAAAATAGAATGATTAGAAAAACAAAACTCTATTTATTCAAAGCAATGCTTATCCTTGATCTTCCTTTATGATAAATATGCGTGACTACTTTTTGAAACATTAAAAGATTATTTTACTTCATCGGATATATATCCTTAGGCTTCATCATTCATTGAATACGCTTAATGTTAATTCTATATGTTTCCAGATCATTCTATCCCTTTATATTATATTCAATATTAATGATCAATATAAAATAAATAAATAAAAAAAAAACAAATTTAAGCTTACTAGTTAGTGTAGGTAATTGATTAATATCATTTCTTGTTAAAGGTAAAGCACCAATATCATCATTGAATAATTGTATTAATATTTCTGGATTAAAATTTTCTCTATTATGATCAAAAACAAGAAAATGTAATGGTAATTGAGCAAGAGCCATATTTGGTTCATATTGAGTATTTAGTGGTTGTCCAGATATGAATCCATTGATATTTAAGAGTGGTATTTGAGGTGTTTGAGTATCAATAACTTGAAATGGTAAGAAATCAAGAAAAGGTATATATCGATGTCTTGGTAGAGTATGTGTAATACGTTTAATACGTCGTGGTGGTCTACCACGACGATGACGATGTTGTGAAATATCTGTTTGTGTTTGAGACATAAGCATTGGTAATAACATATTAGTAAATGATTGTATATCATAAGTATTATTAAATAAATTTTCAAAATTATGAATTAATGGTATTTGTTGATGATTATTATCATTTGATAATTGTTCAGTGTTATGAATTTCTGTAGAAATTTCTTCGAGAAATTCTGATTGACATTGTATACATCTAGTTCCATTTGTATTTATTGTACCACAATTATGACATAAATAATTTGATGTAGGAGAATGATTATTGGGAGTGGACATTAAATAGAAATAAATATTCGATTAATTAAATAAAGCGCCATAGTTTAATTATTGATATTCAATTTTATTTATTTGTCTGTTTTAGATAATCAAAGATTGAGTCGAAAGTTTCTATGACTTTTGACTATTGAGCTATAAGTGAATCTTGAAAAGATTCAAAAATTTTGTTCGAAGAAAAAAACTTCAAATGAAACTTGTTCCAGACATACCAGAAAATTTTATCGAATATATTGGAATATACAGAAAATAATTTTCTAAAAAATGGCATATTTGAATAAAATGTTTTGTAAACTATTGATATGCAGTAAAGGCTTTTATAAAGTCTATCGTAAGAACAATCTCTTTTGTTTCGATTTTCGGCTTTTCAACGTAAAATGACTCTTCATCATAACTCTACCATTTTTTACTGAATTAATTCAAACTCTTCATTCTTGCGTCATTTTGTAGAGTAGAGACCAACGTTAAGTACTAGATATTTATAGAACTTATTCGATATAGACTTATTCTTAGAAAAATAAGATTTTTTTGAGTCCAGTCAAGGTATAGTTATAGCTCAATAGTCAAAATGCATAGAAAAATTCTAAGTATATATTCTGAAAGAGTACAAAATTCTGATTCGAATACACTACCAATGCATTTAAATACGCGAAAAATAGTCAAAACACATTGTCTAGAAACTTTTGGTTCACTTCTTATCGTCAATCGACAGATGTCCTTCTATATTGTTGTCTTAATAGGATTCAGGTTTTTATGTTGCATGACTGGTTGAAAAGAATCCATGAAAATAAATAATAATCACTCATTATTTTTTTTTAGAAATTTACAAATGGCTAAAGAATCTGATGATCTTCATGGTATGGTACCAGATTCAAATGATATGGCATTATTACTTATTGATGTTATTAATCATTTAGATTTCGAAGGAAATGAAGGTTTAAATATAAAGATCTTTTCGTTCTAATTCAACGATTTCTTATTTTATAGAAATATTAAAAGTAGTTGAACAAATTGGTCCACATATTGCTAAATTAACACAAGCAGCACGTAAAGCTGGTATACCAATAGTTTATGTTAATGATAATTTTGGTAAATGGAAATCAGATTTTCATAACGTTATTGAATATGTTATTAATGAAAATAAACCTGGTAAACATTTTGCTCAATTATTACATCCACAAGAAGATGATTGTAATTTTTAATACATAGAATTGTTTTTAAATAAGTATTTTTATTATTATTTAGATTTTGTTCTTAAACCAAAACATTCAGGTTTTTATTGTACTCCACTTGATCTATTACTCAGTCATTTAGATACAGAAACATTAATTCTTGCTGGTGTTGCTGGAAATATATGTGTTTTATTTACAGCTAATGATGCTTATATGAGAAATTATAAATTAATTGTTCCAAGTGATTGTATTGCATCAAATACTATTGAAGTAAATTGATTCTTTTTTGCAAGAGAAAATATTTATTTGTATGTGTGTTTTCTTTTCATAGGAAAATGATACTTGCTTGGAACAAATGAAGAAGTTACTTAAAGCAGATACAAGACCATCAGTTGATATTATAAAAGAAATTGAAAAAATGCCAAAAAATAAAAAAAGTGATGAAGAACGAGCGAAAAAACGAAAAAAAATTGTTAAACCATAGTAAAACTGCTTTTCCTTGATACATATATCTAGCCGAGCCATAAGTTTTCTACTGTTATCATATTTTTAGACTAGAAATCACGTTTGTTTATGTATTTTTAATATACAAGCATATACTTTTTTCGATTTGCAATTAAAGTTTTTCTTGTCGTAATTTTAATGAATACATTACAAAAAAAAACAAAAGAAATCTTTGATCATAGTTCGATAAGGAACAATACATTACGCAAAGAAAAACAAATAATTTTCATCTATACTATAACTTAATCAAAATCTAGTCCTTTGTTTGATATAAATAATTAAATCAAGAGTGCTTCTCATATAGGGGTGTTAGTATTCTTATTCTCGAGCGTTTCGTTTTCAAGGAACAAGAATGCATTTCATACTACATTTTCTAGCAGTTTTTAAATTCGTTCAGGTGTTTATACATTTTCGCTGATCTTGTTATTTGAGACAGTTATGTGTTTCTCCATTCTCAGGAATGGAACGCGAAAGTGATACTTCTAACTTACGGCATACCAAAAGTAATGAAATTTTGAAGCAAAAAGCTACAGAAACAAGCAGTGGCATAGCTAGGAATTTTTAAATCATGGGCTGTTTCCTAGCTATATGATTTAGGGAGTGAACAGCAGTGGGCAATTAAAAATCAATTGGACTATAAGTTTTTTAAAAATTATTAGCATCACAAAAAACCAATTTTCATTGAAGAGAAATTTATTACTTTCAACTAAAATGCAAGCTGATTCATTTTTTTTTCTGTACTGTTTCATAAATGTACTCTTTAATTTTTCAAATATTGAAATATAGAGTACGTTAGAAAATATAAATAAGCCCCAATGGAACTGTTAGCGAATTTAAGTGGAATAACGAGTATTTTGACAAAAAGAAATACCATTGAATTGTTATTATTGTGGGCATCGTTTTAACAAAAACATAGTCAGTTGATTGTTCTGGATCACTTGATTAGATTATAAGTTGGTATCATTTCAAAAAAATTCATGAGAAATTGCTTTTTAATTCGTGGACAATTATCTAAGGGTTGTGGTCCTGACTACGTCACTGGAAGCAAGCTATTCAAGACTTTTTTTGATCAAATATTCGAAATAGTTTCTCTGGTTACTTACAGAGAATTCCATTAGTTCAAGGTCGTTTATCAAAACTTTTTTATAAGTATGCTTTGTTGAGCGAGTTCATAATCTTAATTAAGGTAAGGAGCAAATATGGTGAGTTGCTTTCTTCGGCTAGAAGATGATGAAGAGAAGACCTATATCCACACCTTTAAGTCATTAGAAATCGCAAAAGTATGTCTCTAAGATGTGCAAGAGTTGATTACCTCGAAAAAAAGATTTGTTTATTTTGCAGATCTAACTCTATAGAAAAGATTTCATTGATTGCTCTAGACCTAATTAGTTGTACATATAATTGTAAAGATCATTCATAAAACTTCTCAAAGTCTTCGAGAAACAATATTATTTTTATAAAATCGTACACTAGACAGCTCAGGCAACATGTGCCTATGTTTATCTAAAAAAAAATTTTTTTTTCTTGACGAAAATAAAGTTTTCTGAGGAAGGAGGCCCTTCACAAGAATAGTTTTGTGTGAACGTTTCAGATTTTGCCATTGTTCCTTTCCTAAGATACAACTATGATAACAGAGTGTCCTGTAGTTAGATTTCTCGTTGCCACGCTCATTTTCTTTATTTTCCTTTTGGTCCAAAAAACAATTTTAAGAAGACTCCCCAACAAAAAAACACCCCTCCTCCCTATCTATATATATCTCTGTCTATATATATATATCCGAGGTTAAAAGAACACGCTCCTAACACAGACACACACACAAAAGAAGAGAAAAAATAGAATAAATGTATAAAACAACAGAAGAACGAACAAAAGAAAAGAGAGAAGAACAGCTGATATCTTCTATCCTAACACCTGTACATAGCTCATATAAACCGACTGATTTGATGTTCTTATTTTAGGATAGAAGAAAATCAAAAGACTTGAGTCTTTCGTAACGAAATTATTCTCGTTAAGATCTGTTTCTATATAAAGTTTCAAATAGAAATTCGAAAATCAGTTTTTCTGTCACAACACGATTTATTCCAAAAAAATACCTAAAAAGTGCAATATCTTCTCAGCAATAAGCTAAGAACATGAACTCTTTTCAGTTTATCCATAGTTCACTTGGATCCACATGATGTACATAGTTTTTAATCAAAAGCGATTTGTTTTACGAATAAAAAAAGCGTAATTGATTATTTTTATGAACGAATAACCTATCTTTTACTAATACACTCCCTCGAGATAATTGAAAAGAAAATAAAAATTTTCTTTTTTTGTAGAATTTTATTGACTAGTTCTGTCAAGTTACAACTTGACTTCATCAGAATCTACATATAATAATAATAATAATAATAATAAAGAAAACTTAACAGAAAAACTCTAAAGGGCCCTATCAGAGACGAAGAAGTCGTTAGATGGCCGAATAGGTCTATCCAACAGAAAAAACAAAATGAATAAAAAAACTACGCAATACCAGATAGACCGTTGTTGGGAAATGCAAAATTCAAGGTCCCGAATGTAGTATTGTTGCTTCATGGCCATTAATGTATACATTGAGGCTGCTGTTGTTTTCGTTGTTGATTGCGTTGCTAATGTTGCAATGTTACTTGGAACAAAACTTTTTGTACCATGAGATAGGATTGGAAAAACTCTTAATTAGTAAGTTATTTATTGATCTGAAGTAGTGATTTGTATGGTTTCTTTTCAACAAGACAATCTTGAAACTTATTTAATCTTCTAGTGAAATTATAGATAGATCATCATTAGCTCGAACTAATGTTGATTTAAAATAGAAAAAAAAACAATTTATTTTCTTTTGTAATACTATCAAAACAAATATTTTTTCAGTTGGTTGTGAAAATCATCATCTGAATTCTAAAAAATGAGTTCTATTTGAGATTATCTATATTTGTTGTCAGATTTTTCCGATTTAATATTGAGGAAGGACAACATCCTAAAATCAAAAAAGTAAATAGTATTTCTCAATCATAAATTCTATTTGAAAATATATAGAAAGAATGTGTCCACCGTTTTGAAATAATTTTGAAAAATAAAGAAGTTTTACTATTATCAGAACTAATATTTACTTCAGTTGATGAAGATTTTCTTCTCTTTTGATAAAAGTAAATTTTTTAAAGACAATAATGTATGAATATTTTCTTTACTAAAATTGTCAATAATTTTTATTATTATTGATGTTTAATATTGAATAATGAAATAGTAATAAATCATTTTTGGTAATTGTAAAAACTAATCATAATTGTTTATTCAAAATAATTACAAAAA